CCCGGCGTCTACCTCGGGCATGGTGGCGTCGGACACGCTCCTACTTGCATCAGGTACCACGGACTGGGGGGCAACACTCTGCGCCGTAACTAGGCCTGCTTGAAAAAAAAAAAAGAAGAAGAAGGAATAAATAATAAAAATAAACAAGAGGGTGGTGGAGTTATTTCAGCCGGGTCTTTCTCCTCTTGAGTTAGAGTGGAGTTCACACCTTTTCCGTCCATGGCAACCTGCTCTTCACGGAACGGGGAGGCCCCGCGCTTCTCCCCAAGATTGGGCGGACATAAATTCGCACCAGGCACAGGAGGTGGGAGCATGGTCCCTAATGACACATTGGGGGCAGCAACTTCGTGTCTGTTGCCTGCCACATCTGAAAATATGAGCAAATTAAGGGATGATCTCATATGGCATCTGTGACCTGCTGGGACAGAAGATTTACCTGTATACGAATTAATCGGGAAAGGGCCCCCTTGGAGCAAGGCCTCGACCTTCTCCTCAAGGTCAGGGGTGAGAGAGGCAGGCTTGTACTCGCGCATTGAAATACCCCAGGTGGACGTGACGGGGAGCGAGCGGGGAGCGGATGCCCATACCCATTTATTCGACCACTTCCTAGGTGGATCTGGATACTGATCAAAAAGCTTGCGGTGCGGTAATTGGCAAAGTGACACGAACCCGCCGTCATCTGTCTTATTGTTAGGGCGGTTCCACCTAAAGCATGCACGGAACAACGGTATGGATGGCCGGATACCAACGCCACTACAACGTGCGACAAAAGCAGCCGTAAACATATGTGCGGTTGGGGTCATCTGGCACGGCGATACCCCGATATGGGCAAGGAGTGCCACCAAGAATGGACATAAAGGCACCCGCATGCCCCGCGCGATAGATGCAATGTGAACCCCGAAGAACGAATCTGGAGGAGGGCTGGTGAGGCTACTCTCGGGATCTGGCAACATGAGGGTGCAATTGCTATCGACCAAACTTTTCGCCAACTTCAAATCTGCCTCCGTACTGGTGGAACGCAAACGTTCCCTCCAAGCGTTAGGATCTTCGACGCTATCCGATTCGCCATTTGATTTGGGGGAGCTATCCGACTGTGAGGCAATGTCCACTACAGGGGTGACGTTGTTGGAGGATGGCACAGACTGGTCATGTGGCCCCCCCGGAGCAGGCCGGAGATGTCCCTTAACGATCACAATCCGCGTAGCGGGTCTGTCCAACCGCGAGGAGGTGGTGACCTTTTCATGCATCGAAAAATTATCGGAGACCCCTTGATTTTTCCTGATGCCCCGAATTCGAGTTGAGACGTTGCATTCACCCCGCTGGCTTGAATTTGTTTAACAGAGCCTCCACGCACGGACTCTTTCCCCACCTCGCCACGATGGGCTCGTGCAACCAAGTTCCCAGACTGTGGCAGTGCGTCCGCCTCGCCCGGGGGGTCTCGCATAGATGATATTTGACCCGCTGGAGGTTTCTGGGATTGTTTGACGGACGGACGACGTTCACGGGTGGAGAGGGCACTATGATGAGCTCCGTATCGTGAACTGTGTTGAGAACCTGTGCGTAGGCTTGGAACAGGCGGCGATGATGACTTTGAATCGCTGGGTTTTTTCCGACCGCCTGGGCTACGAGATCGCGACGGCGAACAACGTCGTGAATGACCCTCCCTCCGACGCGACGGAGAAGGGGAGCCGCTGCGTTTCCTTCGCCGACTGGGGATGGAGCGACGCGGCGATGCCGTGGCTGCGGCTGGAACGGCTGAAGCTGAGGGGACCTGCATGGCTGAATTGCGCGTGGATGATCGAGGGTGTTAAGGCTAGGCCACACTCAGATTCAAGGAAATTAAAAGAATATGGAAAGAAGAAAAAAAGGAAGGAAATTATTAATTGGAATAGCTCCGGGTTATTTTAGGAAGCTGGCCTGGGGTTTCTGTGACAAAACGCGAAGGCTTGGACGAGATTCCAACCCTGACTGCGGGGTTCTTTATTGGTCGGGTGTGCGGCTAAAGCCCATGTATATCCGTCGCATGGTCAATGTACGGCTACAGAAAAACAAGGCTCGTATTTTGGAATTTCAGGCCCAAGTCCTTTCGCAAGCAGTAGGGAGCAAAGCAAAGGGGCCGATCAAGGCCTGCAAAGTATGGCCCCCCTACGGGCCAACGATTACGTTGACGAGCACCCCAGACTGCTACAATGGAGGTGCGACTAGCCAGCCGATCCGATAGACGAACCGATCGTTGATCAACTTAACTACTCCCTTCTAGCCGAGTCTGCTACTCGACTAGGGGAGTGGGGGACTCGTGTTGGGATAATGGGCCAGGTCCAATACTATCGACCCAATATGCCTGGGCTCGGGCGCGAACCAGGCCCAGCCTACGGTCCGACTAGATAATATGGTCCTTGGATTGATTAGTTTAACTCTGGGCCCGACCAGCCCATTGGCCGGGGATCAGGCTTCTTGTTTTAGTTGTTTGATTGGGCCAAGCCCATTAGTATTCAAGAAACCTCTTGTAAGCGCCTATAAATAGGCCGCCCCTCTTTTTGTATTGGAGAGGTCACTTTTACTGTACTGAATTGCTGCCGAATTTTCTACTCAACACATTTTCTACCAACAATGCCTAAAGTTAAATTTCCTTCTTGTGATGGTCAAAACATAAAAATTTGGATTCAAGTGTGAGAAGTATTTTAAACTTTTTGCTATTTCTGATTATAAGCAGAGAGTTAATTTGGCTTCACTATATCTTGAGGGTAGAGTAGCTAATTGGTTTGGAAATTACATTTTATTTAAGAAGAAGTTAGAATGGAAAATGTTTGCTACTGATATTGTTGCCAGGTTTAATGGTAATATGGAGAATAAGGTTGTTGAAAGGTTCAATAATATGAAACAGAATGGGCCATTAGAAGGGTTTGTATATTAATTTTAAAATCTTAAAGCACTTATGGTACAAAGGAATCCAAAGCTACCTGACGATTACTTCCTAGAGAGTTTTATGGCTGAAGCAATAGAATTTGCAAGGCTTCAAGAGGATACAATTGAAGCTTTGACTACTGAAGTCACTAAACCTGCCAACTCCTACAAAATTTCTTCATCCAAGCCCTTACTACCAACTCCCATTTTAAAAGGTTCATCTAATATCCCAAGTACTTTAAAAGTTCCTGCACTGGCAGCTCCCATAAGATTTATATCAACCACAGTGAGGGCAAAAAAAAAGGCTAAAAGCCTCTGCTATTACTGTGATCAACCTTTCAGTAAAGAACATATTGTGGTTACAAGTGTACTGAGTTATTCTTAGTAGAAGTGGCAGGCTATGAAGATGAGTTGAGTACACAAAGAGATGAGACTCAGAATCAAGTAATAGAAGAAGGCTCAAATACAAGATCCGATATGTTAGATATTGAACCCCCGATTTCTTTCAATGCTATGAACAAGTATGCATACTTCAAAACCATGAGAATCACTGGGTATGCGAGCAGAAAATCAGTTTTGATCCTGGCTGATTCAGGAAGTACTCACAATTTCTTGAGTACAACAATGGCCAGAAAGTTGGGATGTAAGTTAGAGTCCATTCCACCATTATCAGTGGCAGTAGCTAATGGACCTCAGGTGGAATGTCAATATATGTGCAAACAGCAGACTTCGAAGATGCAGAACACCCACTTCTCTTCTAATGTTTTGAGCTTACCATTGAAGGCCAATGATATGGTGTTGGGAGTACAGTGGTTATGCTCTTTGGGAGATATTACTTGGAATTTCCAGGAACTTCATATGAAATTTGATTACAAAGGCATACAGGTGTTGTTAAGAGGCCAGAAATCTGGTAAGCTTAAAACTGTAAGAGGGACATCTAAGCAACTTCAATATATATACAACACAATTGAAGCAGAAGGATATAATTGAGCAAAAAGTGAAAGAAAACTTGGATAAGGATGCTATCTAACTCAGTGTTTCTTCTTATGCCTCACTTGTGGTATTGGTAAGTAAAAAGGATGGGGATTGGAGACTGTGCATAGATTACAGGGCCCTTAATAAACGACTATTAAGGATAAATTTCCAATTTCGGTAATTGATGAATTAATTGATGAGCTGGTTGGGGCAAGAATATTTTCTAAAATTATTGATTTAATGACAAATTACCCCCAGTCGAGAGTACATCCTGATGATGTGTTTAAAACAGCATTTAAAACTCATTATGACCATTTTGGGTTTTTAGTCATTCCTTTTCGTTTGACTAATGCCCTGCTACTTTTCAAAGCATAATGAACCATATTATTAAGGATTTCCTCAGAAAATTTGTTCTTATATTCTTTTATGATGTCCTTATATATAGTCGTGATGGGGAAAGTCACAAAGTACATCTTCAACAAGTCTTTGAAATATTAAGGCAACATCAATTGTTTGCCAAGCAAAGAAAATGCTCTTTTGTTATGGAGAAGGTAGAACATTTGGGGCATTATATTTCAGGATGAGGGCTTGAGACAGACTCCACAAAATTTTTGAGACAATAATCAAGTGGGCAACTCCTTCCATAAAGCAGCTGAGGATCAAACAACTAATCGAATACAAGTATATCAATACTCCCTCCAACAATAGACTTGTCCTCAAGTCACTTGATAATCAATGTCATCAAACATTGGAAACTTTTCTTTAATGAACTCAGCCCATTCCCAAGTAGTATAAGACTGATGCTTGTACAGACTGGAAAGTGGAAACATAATAAGATTTCCTAGACGGTAAAAAATTTACACACCCATTGTGTACAAACAATTTTTTTTTTCATTTTTTAAAGGGAATTGTCACTATCTATTGACAATTTTTGTGTGTAACTCTGTGACTTCACCTTACCAGAGAAGTCTCATTCTGTCATAACGCAATCCCTCAATTCATAGGGGCGGGGATTTCTGAGTTGTGGGGCAGGGTTACCAGGGTAGGTAATTAGTAATGATTTCATTCAAGCATTAGAGTACGGAGTAACGGAGCTAAGTATGAAAATTTAAAAAGAAATTGCACGGTTTAACATTTGGCAAAACATATAATGAGTCACATTATAATCGATTACTAACAAATATCATAAATGGTCTAAACAAAAACTAGACCTCCCAAAGTTCCTTTCCTTGAACGCCCCCACCCCCCTACAATACAAGCTCTTAGTTAAAAGGCACAAGCATGTTAAATTTTCACATGAGCCTGTTGTTTACAGTAGGTTAAGAAGCAAATATAGAATTGCCAAACAAAAAACATAACTGTGAATCCCTGTGATGCCAGATGAGGCGTAAAATAAATCTATCATGCCTTTATACACTAATGTTATCAGTATGCGTTAGCAATGCGACCCTGCCCCCAAAGAAAAAATGGAAAAGAAAACTGAGCAGCATTCATCAACACTTTGTGGAGTTGCCATCAGTATTGAGGTTTCCCCAACTAATCTCTCGGGCACACTCTCCACAAAAAGTACTGCAGCCAATTTTGGTGCCCTGACTTCGAAGCGTGAGCATGTGTGTCAGGTTTGTGCATTTCCGAATCATCGTGCGGTTTCTTGCTGCCTCAATGGCCCGCCTCAGCTTAACACTATCGCGCACCACAAGAGGTGGTTCTTCTTTGGGGTGGTTGTGGTGTGACATAACCACAGGCGGCTTCCTGTAATTATCATTCACTGAAGAAACTTGGGGTTGCCTCTCGAATGCCGCTACCGAGTCAACATGTGATACCCGGTGGACCTCCTCCCACTCAAGGCTTCTCCTAAACACTTCCCAAGCCATTTCTTGTTCCTCTTTCGATAGTTTCTCCTCCTCATTCTCTTGCAATAGAGTCTCGTGCTCATGGTAATGTGCTATCCAGCTAGGCATAGACATTAATTATTTCATTCAATAGACATCTAAAGATTCCCCACATATGAATATCTTAAAGCTGTATTATAAATGATTGAAGACACGCTACTTTCTCCGGCATAAGAAAATCATTTGTCTAAACCTTGGAGATCCAAATACAACTATTTAAACTGTATTATCAGTTTCGAATATAAATTCATATGTTGTAAGCAGATTACATATATTTATTTGGTAAAAATGTAAAGTTAGTGACAAATATTTGCTAACAATCTGGACACGCAAAAAGGTATTAAAGGGCATTAAAATGGTGCACTTTTTGCAGCAATGGAAAATTTTGATTTATTTACGAAAAACGTCATCATGTTTTTGTCCAATTCTTATGTAGTCATTAGATGTCAAGTCCAATGCACCAGGTTTATTCTTATTTTTCATGAGGACATTTTATTTCAACCACCCACACACACATACATCCATGCATATAAAGACACGTGTATTAGGTTATAAGTAAACATATACAAGAATACAAGTTTTCCCAGCAAATCAATAATACATAAGCAATAATGAACTACTCCCTCCGTCCCGCTAAGATTGTCCCATTTTTCCTTTTCGAGAAATCCCACTAAGATTGTCTCATACCAAATATGGTAAAGTTTGTGTGGCTCTAAACCATTCTTACTTTATCAATTCAACATCAACCACACAAACTCACTTTTCTTAATAACTGTGCCACCTTCTCATGTATCGATGTTAGTGGGACGGAGGTAGTAATATATAAGATGAGAACCTTGGTCTTAATTATTTTATGTTATACACACATAAACATGCTTACATATATAATTGTCTATCAACAATTGTTCTTTTTGTTTGGTTTGTAAATGCAAGTTAAGAAAGTAAAACTGTATTGATGAGATATCTTAAAAAAAATCTTACAATTAAAAATATCAATATCAACTGTATAACTCTTCGATTAGTAATAGTAAATTAGTATTACAATTTTTACGATGTTAATCTAAATAAACATGCAATTCAATAAGTTAATGTAAAATAGTAAGTGTGGGGATTACTAATTTATAAGCAATAAAAACATATCTTAGAAATAAATAATCAATACGCTAACCAAAAAGCAACTCCAAATAGCTGTTAGATTTCCTAGGGTTTGAATCCGTCTAGGTGAACCAACTCATGAATCAATCAAAGGATGTTGAACTAAATTTTGACAAAGGACAATATAATTTGAGCTAAAGGGAAAGAACAAACCTTGGATGATGCCTTTCAATCAAAGTTTGCATAAACTTGTCAGAAGACACGCCTCCTTTTGGAAGAGGCAATTTCTGTTTCAAAAAGCTCCCAACACGGTCAGCAGTATTTAGTTCACCCAAATTTCCTCCCAGCTCAGAGATAACATCAACTCCATCATCATCTCCAAATTCTAAAAGATGCAGCATCTCTTCTCTTGACATTGTCCTATGCACTTGCTGCCTATCAACTACCCTTGCAGCCAGGCCTTCCTTCGTTACCTGTTACGAAGAACGTGTGGAATGAGGAAGGATTTCAAACTGCAAATTCGTAGGTAGGGGGGTTAATATTTTTATAATGACCAAATTGCCTGTGAACTAGAAGCTTCCCAATGGAAAAAGTAAGAAGTTGTTATTGTACAAGTGATACCATACTTCTTCCTAAATTGGAAGGAAGAGATAAACGAAAAGGGGGCTAACGAAAAACTCTTTCCATGGTTAGAAGGAGAAAATTTTCAAAGGAACATTATGATGAATTTGTATGAGGATTGTACTGCTGAGTATCAATACTTTATACTTGTGTAGGGCTGATAAGGAAGTTCCCAATATCAATGGAGTGCACTAAGGGTTGGATCTAAGTCCTTTCCTGTGTGTCATAGTGACGGTTGAACTCGCATAGTAAATTCAAGTTGAGTCGAAGCAAGACGTAGTATATGGAGTGCAAGTTTAACGGTGGTAGAAAGTAGAAGCAATGGTAACAGAGAGATCAACTTGTATGGTAAGGAGATCCTGATTAGTTATATACTCCCTTCGGTTCACATTCTTCTTTACATTTTCCTTTTTTGTCAGTACCACAATAATCTTTACACTTCTTATTCTACCCATAATTTTGATTGAAATGCCATAAATATCCCTTTCTCATAATACTCCTATTACTACCCACCCACCTAACTACCACATTAAACCCCCACCGCCCCACTTGTTTCGTTCATATGTATCCGTCCTCTAACCTTTTTTCTTCTCTCATCCTCCCACCCCTTATCTCGCTCATCTTCGTCCTCTCCACCATACTCCTCTTCATCGCACCCCTTCTCCTTACAAAGTTGCCCCCTTCTGATTTGTGTTTGTCTCCGGTTTAATGGTTGATAAAACCACCTCTACGCACACCGGCAGTCTTGAACTGGGAGATGAAGTGGATGTGAAGTCGCTGATTGAGTACTCCAACCTCCCCCAATCTGAACCACTTCATTCAGATCCGAAAAGTGTGAAGTCCGTTCGAATTTCGGATCTGGAAAAAAGGCAAGTTTCCCACGAATTACCCTTAAGTTTACTCCTACTACTTAAAAAAAACTAATCTTCCACATGCAATGTCTTTTGAAGGCTTGGGTAAACCCAGTCATCGTTCAATTCGGTGATTGTTCCACTGAAACAGATCTGGGATGGCGGTTGAGGAAAAGTACGATGACAACCTAGTGAGTGACACGTTCGAAGGGCTGGATGACTTGGAAGAAGAAGGGGATGAGGCTACCTCGAGATATTTTGATGGTGAGGAGGCATATGGGGTTGGTGATTCCGCTCACGAATTATTTGCAGACACTCCTTGTACAAATGGTTGATTCTACGGGCAGTACTCTCTGTCTCTCTACTATCCTTGTTTTTTTTACATAAGTGATGAGTACTTGCATGTTTGTTGCCTAAGATGTGTATGGTGTGAAAACTAAGGATGAGTTGGGGGTACTGATTATCAAAATGTTGATTGTGAAAAATGATGACTCAATGTTTGTTGTTTGATTGAGTCTAAAACCGTGTGCTGCCTATTGCTTCTGTGATATTCTGTATGCCTAAACTGTTAGTGTGCATTGCATCAGTGTGTGTCTCAAATGTGATTAAATACTTGTGCAGCCCACTTATGAATGTGTAGGAGGCCTAGTTTGTAAATCATGTTTGGCATTGACTTGCTTACAATAATTAGTGTACAACTATGATCTAGGAAGTACATCAAAAAGGTGTTTTCAACAATCTGAAGTACATACAAAAAATTGTACACCTAGTTGCATAATAATCCCCGTGTATATACAAAAAGTAGCAAAAAACTTGTACTGTCCTTTTTAGATAGACAGTTCAGAGATGAAGATCTTGATAATCTTCATCTATGAACTCTGTCCCTGTCCCTGTCACAACACTGCTTGTAACTGTTGTGTTTGTTGCCATGTGCCACTCCATGTGTGCTTTAGCTGTGTTATACATTTCCTCATCAATCTGGACATGCTTGGGTAATTTACCTTGCCTTTCCAATCTGTCTTTCCCAACATGTTTTAGTTTGAAGTTGTTCCCCCATTGTGCTTAAGAAATTCCTCCATTACATATTGAAAGCATAAGAATACCTTGTTTAAGGTGTGAGCTGTGAGATCATTGAATGCACTTTGTACTGATTCTATCAGTTCTTTGATAGTCTTAAGTGCTTTCCGATCTTTCAGATAATCAATAGCCCTAAAAACCCTAAATCCAACACATTCAAATCTGGGCTATTGGGTGGTTGGCAATGCAACTCAATGTTCCATCCATCTTTTGTCCCACTTTTAACAAACTCTGGATCACTTATGTCTAAATGAGGCCTAGCGTTGTCTTGTTGTATAATGACATGTTTGTTTTCTGCATCTGGCCACTTCTCTTAAATTGCTGGCAGAATTTTTGTTAACATCATGTCTTTTGTAACTGGTCAGTGACACTCAATGTTGCCTTTGTCTCTAAGGTCCCAGCTGGCCTATTCTTGCTTGTTCTCTTTTCTTTGTCTTCATAGATAAAAGGAAATATCCCTATTTTACCATCCCATAATACATCCCTCAGGTTGCCTATTCTAGGCCTTCCTAGTGAAGCTATAAACATCACTTTTGGTATGAATTTTTTGACTGAGTTGTTCTGTAAGAGTCCTCTTCTGTTGGGAATGTATAAAATGTTGTGGTTTTTTTTATAAGTAGAACCACTTCTCATCTATGTGTACATGATTATAAAAATCATGAAAAGTTGGGGAAAGGGGAAGTGAGCTAGGAATAATATGGCTTAGACAGAACTGTAACCTTTTCAGCATTCCTTTATTTGTGAGAAGAGGTTTAATGGCATTAGAATGTCTTTTAATTTCTTTTCTCTTGAACCATCTCTGCATAGTTGACTTTGACACTTGCATTGAAAATGCCAAAGACCTCATATTTTTCCTTTTATGATATGGGATCTCAGACATTTTTGACAAGTCAAATGCAATTCTTTTTTGGTCCTACATTACCTTTCAATTTGCTCTACACATTTATGGGTTGCCCAGCCTGCATTTGTGCCTTTGCTTTGGCCCACAGTGTGTGTACAGTTTGCCTTTGCTAACAATATGTCTATTATTCTTCTTCACTTATCAGGTGTAAGCTTTGCCACATGTTTTGGCTGCCTCTGTGTGTTATCCGTGTGACTTTCTGGTGAACATTCATCTGCAGGTACATGGGGAACTGGCAGCTCCATCTGCACTTCCTCAAGTTCGGTGTTAGGCTCAAAGGGAGGCATATATGCTAAAGAACTTGCAGCAGAGGGAGATTGGGGAGGCATATCAGAAAGCTCAGAGACAAGAAGAAGACTTAGCTCAGAGACAAAAGAGGAAGATTGGGAGTAATTTTTGTGTACTTGGGGGAGTAAATGAGGGGTATATATAGGCTCATGGATTTAATAGGCGAAACGCCTTTACGCACCAAAGGCGCAAATGCGCTAATGCGCTAGAGTATCGCTGGTAAGGCTTAAGCCTGAACTTACCGTAACAAGGCTTACGCCTTTTTTTGACGAGGCGTAGAATCGGCTCCAAGGCATGGGGCGTTTATGAGGCGTACCCTCTAATTTAGGTAACTTGGGCTTCTTTTTTAAAATTTATTGGGAGCCTTTTTTTTAATCCTAAACACCAATTACCTACATCCTTAGCCGACTTAGCCACAACCCTATTATAAACAATTGTCGTTCCATCTTCTACTACAACCACCAACAAGAAACGGCAAGTCTGCAACGTCAAGAAGTAAAGAACAGGCTAAGAGTTGCTCAAGACATCACCGGCTCAACCTGCTTACTTCAGGAGCTCCTCCCTGCATCTTTGCCGCTTCATCCGACCATCCAGGTTTTAACTTTTAACCGTATTAAACAATACCCCACAACCCAATTCTATAATTTGTTATTGTGTATTTGTCTTCCTGGTTTAAGTTTTATATTTGATTTTTTATTTATTTAAAATTTCTGTTTTCATTTATTAAAAGTTACGTATGCAAGCAAGTATGCAATTATAATTTAAATTTTAACTTTTGATTTAACTTTTTATTTAAGTACTAAAAAGTTCTGGTGAGCAGGTTTTTATTTAATTTTTTATTTATTTAAAAGTTTTTTAGTTAAATACTTGTCTGTTTATTTAACTAATTAACTGTTTAACTTTTCACTGTTTAATTAATGTATTTGTGTGTTGTGTCTATTTTGAATTTGAAAGATCATAAATGTCTGTTTGTGTTTATGTGTGATGTGTCAGACAAAATTATTAATGATTTCATGAGCCTAGCGTTATAAATTATTAAAAGTTACGTAGTATTAAATAGTTGTCTGTTTATTTAACTTTTTAGTGTTTAATTAATATATTTGTGTCTGTTTTGAATTTAAAAGATCATAAATGTCTGTTTGTGTTTATGTGTGATGTGTTCATAAGTAATAATACAACTATCATTTACAGATTTACATTACTAAATACTAATTTATTTGTTAAAAATTTAATACTACGTACTTTAGTAGTTTACTTCAGTCAAGATTTAATTTTAATTAGACATGTTATAGTTAAGTTCATACAGTTTGATTATATTTTTTTTTAAAGTTGTTTATCAATTATTTAGTTATTTATTGTGAGTAGTTTACTTAAATTCTTGTAAAAAAAATCATTTTATTCATAGGAGTGGGCTGATTACTCACGATGGTTAAACCCAGTAAGAATCAGGGAGAGGGGTCTAGCTCAAATAAAGATAAGGATCCTGCTTGGCAGTATGGAATTAAATTGAATCTTCCGGCAGGAAAGACTGGTTATGTATATGCAAAATGCAAATATTGCAATAAGGTGATCACCAGTGGAGTGGGGAGACTTAAAGAGCACCTTGCGGGAACACATAAAAATGTGGCGCCATGCAAAAGTGTTCCCGAAAATGTTAAAAAGGATGTGCTAGCAATGTTGAAGAACTATCAAGATCAGAAACACGTTAACCAGAAGTTTTTTGATGAAATGGTAG